TTGATCCCCATGGCAGGCACTGCACAGAGCATGGAGCCTACTTGAGGTTTTCTCTCTCTCTCTCTCTCTCTCTCTCTCTCTCTGCCCATCTCCCCCACTTGCACTTTCTTTCTCTCTCTCAAAATAATATATATAGAAACATAATTGTGCTTCTTGACATAAAAATTATGATCTGTATTAAGACCACCAATAAAAAATATGTAAGGGATCACAGTACTTTAATCAGTTTTTATCTTTAAAAATAATGCATGCATGTAGTTTAAAACTCAAACACTACTAAAAGGTTAATAATTAAAATCTAACAGTTATTGCCCCAAGCATTCCTGAGCCCACCTCTGCTGCCCAGAGGAAACAGCTTTCAAGTCTTATATCTGTTTCCTCAGGTATTTACCCCTGTGTTTCTCCATATGCTTGCAGTGCTCTTTGAGGATTTCACAATTGTTTAGACATTATTCATAGTCTATAACAGGACCTAACTCATAATAGTTATTGACAAACATTTGTTGAATCCATAACTTCTATTTAGATGCAGATTTGTCTGACACTCCCCCACCCCAATTCCTTTTCATATTCTCCCCAGTTATAATACAATTTTTTATTCTCAGTACTTAATGTCAACAGTATTAAAACTCTGACAGTGCAGACTTTATTATCATGCAAACCATCACTGCAGAACCAAATATTGTGCTTTTGATTGTTTCTTTATATGTACAACTTCTCATTTTTTCTGGAATTGTATTCATTGACCATTTCTAAGTATCTCTCCTTACTATTTTCAGACACTCCATAGTATCTGTCAAGTACTTCTTAACATTATTTTCCAAATGTCCAAATATTTGAGATAGTCCACCAATTTTATTTCTCTCCTGAAGACCTCTATCCTCCGTCCTTTCTGGATTCACTCCACAGACCTGATGTATCGCTGTCAACCTAGAGTTTCCTTTGCTGCTCTCCTGTGACAGGTCCCCTCTATCATAGAGATAATACTGTTTTATCTTCTAGTATTTTCATTGAGAGTCCAATAATAGTATTCTCATCTCATTTCTGCTCCTTTATAGGCTGTGTGATTCCATCTCTCTATCTCTTGCATATTTTCAAAGACCAGCTTTAGTTTCATTGATTTCTTTTTACTGTTTATCTGTTTCCTTATTTCATTAAATTCCATGCTTATCTACATTATTTTCTTCATTCTGACTCATTTTTGTAGTTTATTAAAGTGGAAGCACAGATGACTGATTTTAGAATTTCCTTTTGTTCTAAAATAATCATTTTTTTAAAATAATCATTTAATGCCAAGTTTTCCTTAGCATTTCTGGCAGAATTCTAAAAATTTTGATTAGTGCATCTTCATGTTCATTCAGTTCACATGTAAGTCAATCTGTGACTTCCTTTTTGGCCTGTGTGTTATTTAGAAGTAGGCTTTTTAATTTTGGAGTATTCAAAGATTTTCCAGAAATCTTTCCATAGATTATTTATAGTTTGTATTTGTTGTGGTTAAGGGTACATACTCAATATGATTTCAATCTTTTAAAGATATGGTGGTTTGTTTTATTCCCCAGAATATTGTTATCTTGAAATATGTTCCATGTACACCTAAAAGACTAGATACTCTGATATTTCTCGGTAGAGTCTTCTAAAAATGTCAATTTGTGGATCTTTTCTATGTCCTTATTAATTTTTCTACTACTTCTATCAATTAATGAAAAAGTAATAATGCAGTCTCCAACTAATGGCAGACTTGTCTCTTTTTCCTTTCAGATCTGTCAGTTTTGGTTCATGTATTTTGAAACTATTAACACATGAATTTATTTGAGTATTATGTCACCTTGATGAATTGATTCCTTTAGCATTATGAAATGTTCTTCCTTATTTCTAGTAATAATTCTTCCTTTGAAGTCTACTTTGCTTAATGCTGACACAGTCACTCCAACTTCCTTTTGATTGAAGTTTTCACAGTATATCTCTTCCTATCCTTCTAGTTTTAGCTATTTGTGTCTCTATATTTAAAGAGGATTTCTTGGGAAAGCATACAATGGAGTAATGCCTTTTATCCAACTGGCAATCTCTGCACTTTAATTAGAATATTTAAACCATTAGCATTTAATTCCATTATCAAACACTAGGTTGAGTTTAAATCCTTTATCCTTGCTATAGGCTTTCTACTTCTGTCAGTTGTCATTTATTCAATTTTTTCTTCTTCTTGCCTTCTTTTGGACTAATTGAGGGTTTTTTCATGATTTGAATTTATCTCCATTATTGGTTTGTTAGCTATAGCTCTCTTTTATTATTTAGTTTTTGTTCTAGATTTTACAATATTTGGGACACTTTGGTGGCTCAGTTGGTTAAGTGTCCAACTCTTAATTTTGGCTCAGGTCATGATCTCACAGTTGTGAGATCAAGCCTCATATCAGACTGTGTGCTGCACATGGAGCCTGCTCAAGGTTCTCTCTCCGTCTCTCTTTACCCCTCCCCCATTCACTCTCTTGCTCTCTCACTCTCAATAAATAAATAAATAAATAAATAAAATTTTGAAAAATACAATATTTATCCTTTCTGGATTTTCCTCACCTGGAGTGTGGCATGGAAAAATCCTACAGGCAGATAAGCTGGTACAATCATTGGCTCATGCTGTTTATTTAGTTCTTTTCAGGAATAAATTTAGTGCTCCCTGATGTCAGATGTCTGGAAAATATGGTTTCATATACCTTGTCTGGTTTTCTAATTGTTTATGGTGAAGCCAAAGTAGAAGTTCTCCCTTCATGCATGGAAATAGAAGTCCACTTACTAACTTTTAGCTATTTGTTATGACAATGTTGTGAAATGGTCAGATTTAAAACCTAGATAAATAGACAGATATACAAATAAATATCTTCTTCAATCACATAGAACTTCTTTAGTTGTCCATAAGTTGAAATTATAAAAACTAAGGATTAGAGTTGTTTTAAGATCATTTCATCCATTGACCAATCTTGTTTAGAACTTGGGAAATTTTAGCGAGCGTGAGGCAAGTGATTTTCCAGGAACTTACATTTACCACTTGATTATTACTCAACAGAACCTATCAAATTACTTATAGCAAGCAAATTATCAAAAGAAAAATACAATATTCTCTTATAAATTATGTTTTCCTCTATTTTTTCTTATTGGGCATCAAGGAGAAATGAAGAAAAACCATCACAAGAAGATGCAACACCCCATTACAGGACCAGCTTTAAACTGACATTTTGACTTAGGAATACCAAGATTCCTTCCAAGAAGCCTCTTGGGCATCTACATATAATTACCATCAGCTAAAAATTTTCTCTATATTATTCATAGGTTGACTCTAAAAACAAACAATAAGTAGTAATTTGGAAATCAACAACATAGAAATAGAAACATGGTGAAAAAATAAGACAGATTATTTTAGAGGATACTCAGAGTGGCCAAGGATGCACTGACCACTAAAGACACAGGGTTTAGGGTATGCAAAAAGGGAGAGAAGGGAAAATGCCCATCCTACACACAAATTGTTTTGCTCTTGATCTACAACTTGCAACATACTCTATTTCTACCTCTACCTACTACTAATCCTGATCCAACCTGAACTTTCCTCTCAGCACAGTAGAGACTAATCAGGCTCACACTGTTCCTCAGTATTGTTATTTTACTCAAGAGAACGTAATTCCAGGCCAGTTTTTCAAGACACAAAATTGTTCTATTTTTTTCTTCTAAATTTTTATTAAATTCTAGTTAGTTAACATATAGTGCAATATTGGTTTCAGAAAGAGAATTTAGTGATTCATCACTTACAAATGACATTCAGTATTCATCACAAGTGCCCTCCTTAATAACCATCACTCAGCTAGCCCATCCCTCATCCCCTCCCTACATCAATACTCAGTTTGTTCTCTAGTGTTACGAGTCTCAAAAGTATTCTAGCTCTAATAAACACAAAACTTTAAAAATACAACAAGCTTGTTTTTTAATTTCTTTAGCTGAACTTTGCCACCTTCCCAGAATGGTAGAGCTCAATGCCAAAAATGCTACAGATCAATAAATCAGAACTACCATAGGTAGGGACCTGACATCATTATTTTTTAGAGCTCCAAAATGATTATTATGTGTAACAAGAACTAAGAATAAGTACCCTAAGACCTCAAGTTCATTGACAAATTAGGACAAATTCCAGCTGCCTAACAAAAGTTTACACTTGTCCAGCAACAAAATATTTGGAAAATATTTCCACATATATTATTCTATTAAATTTTTTAACTTCGCAAATAGATATAATAATTCCATTTCTTTCTCAACTGTGGAGAATGAATTTTGTCACTCAGTAATTGGTAAAGCTTTGATTATCATCCCCCATTACCAGGATTTGAGATATGGTGACTACATGTTTTCATTTTATGGGTGATATTTTGTGATCACATCGATAACAAGGGAGATTCTCTTTCTGGGGCAAAACTCAACTCCAAACCCATAAAAACCATATTTGTAGTTATTACTAGGGTACTTGAGGAACATAGGTGTCATATAAATGTCCAGGGGTAGCCACTTTTTTGTCTTTTTCATGTCCTCCAAACCATGGCAAAATTGTTTGAATTCTAGAAAACATTAGAAGTAAGGAGACAACCCAGAATGAGTTAAGACCATTACTTGGGACAGATACTGATAACTAGCCTCATTAGAAACATTCATATATAGGTGTGCCTGGATGGCGAAGTCGGTTAACTGTCCGACTTCAGCTCGTGAGCTCACTGGCTAGTGGGCTTGAGCCCCACGTCGGGCTCTGGGCTAACAGCTAGCTCAGAGCCTGGAGCTTGTCTTCAGGTTCTGTGTCTCCCTCTCTCTGACCCTCCCCTGCTCACACTGTCTCTCTCTCTGTCTCTCTCTCTCTTTCTCTCTCTCTTTCTCTGAAATAAAAACATAGTTAAAAAAAAAAAAAAGAAACATTCATATATAACCTTTCATGGGCTCTTCTCTCCCATCCTCACAGGGCTCCCAATCACAGGAGAATGGCTGCTGAAAATCACTCTACAGTGACAGACTTTATTCTCAGGGGATTGACAAATCGGCCAGAGCTCCAGCTCCCTCTCTTCCTCCTCTTCCTTGGGATCTACTTGGTCACCGTCATAGGGAACCTGGGCATGTTCACACTGATTTGTCTGAATGCTCAGCTTCACACCCCCATGTACTACTTCCTCAGCAATCTGTCACTTGTGGATCTCTGCTACTCCTCTGTCATTACCCCTAAAATGCTGGTGAACTTTGTGTCAGAGAAGAATATCATCTCCTATGCGGGGTGCATGTCACAGCTCTACTTCTTTTTTGTGTTTGTTTTTGCTGAGTGTTACATGCTGACAGTGATGGCCTATGACCGCTATGTCGCCATCTTTATCCCTTTGCTTTACAATGTTATCATGTCTCCTCAAGTGTGCTCCCTGCTGGTGGCTGTGGCCTACTCCATGGGGTTTATTGGTGCAACAATAGAGACTGGCCTCATGTTAAAACTGTCCTACTGTGAGCGCCTCATCAGTCATTACTTCTGTGACATTGTGCCCCTTATGAAGCTCTCCTGCTCTAGCACCTATCATATTGAGATGACAGTCTTCTTTTTAGCGGGATTCAACATCGTAGTCACCAGCTTAACAGTCCTTGTTTCCTACGTCTTCATCCTCTCCAGCATCCTCCACATCAGCACCACAGAGGGCAGGTCCAAAGCCTTCAGCACCTGCAGCTCTCACCTTGCAGCTGTGGGAATGTTCTATGGATCTACTGCGTTCATGTACTTAAAACCCTCCACGGCCAGTTCTGTGGCCATGGAGAATGTGGCCTCCGTGTTCTACACCACAGTGATCCCCATGCTGAACCCCCTGATCTACAGCTTGAGGAATAAGGAGGTAAAGGCTGCTGTGCAGAAAACACTGAGAAAACTCTTCAGGTGCAAATGTCATTATTCTTCCTCAGGTTGAAAATTGGGAGAAATGCAGGGTAGAAGCCCTCCAAAAATGTAAGCACATGTGAGTGGAGAACAACCACTTCTCAACATGCCTCATTGGATTTATTCACTCATTTTTTTTCTCTTTTCTTTCTATCTCTCACAGCTCTCAAGTCTTACTCTGCTTGAATATGATTTCAAGTTCATATTTTCTTCCACCTGGGATCATTAAAAAATATTTATCCTCCACCCTCTGGTAAACATGTTCTCTATCTTGATTATAATATAACATGAACTTAAAACTTTCAACAATGAATTTAAGAGAGACTTGTTCATTGATTTATCTCCTTCTATAGAAAAAAAAGATTACCCAAACTAATAGTAATTTGCACTTGGCAGTACATAAGACAAATGGAGATGAATTTGAAAGTCACCAAGAAACAGCAAGTAGCCTCTTTCTCACCCAGAATGCTCCCTCAATTCTCTCTCTCGTTATGTGGTTACCACTTACTTATTCCTGCCAAGATTGCTTAAGTGATCCCTTCACTCAGTTACCACCATCATCACATTATCCGTAACATTTATGGAATGCTAGCCAATCTACTAAGTGTTTTACTTAATTACCTCATTTTCTCAGATGAAGAAACTGATGTAAAAGAGGTTAAGTGACTTTCTCCAGATCACAGACCTGGTAAACAATGAACACTGAGATTCAAACCCACAACTCATTATCCTTTCTCTCTTGGCTGTCAGTCTCCCTACCTAATGTTTTGATATTAACATAAGTATAACCTTTCCATTTCAACTCTTTCTGGAAAATAAATTTCCCTCCTTTAACTCTCATCCCACAGCTCCCAAATAGCCAAGGAATATTAAACATTCCTGTAGTTCTTTCTCTTCCAAAAATACTTGACATTTTGCATCACCTGCCAGTTTCACTCAGTAAATCCTGTTGTCATGGTGCAAAATGTCTTCCCCAGTTTTGAAAATGTTTATTTATTTTGAGAGACAGGGCACTAGCAGAAGAGAAGCAGGGAGTAAAAGAGACATAACATATAAAACAGGCTCCAGGCTACAAGCTGTCAGCACAAAGCCCTACATGGGGCTCAAACCCATGAACATTAAGATCATGACCTGAGCCAATGTCAGATGCTTGAACCGACTGAGCCACCCAGGTACCCCATCTTCTCCCACTTGTTTGAAGTTATCAGGGATTCACATTAAAGAATTGGTAACATTAAAGAATTCGTTTTGGATGCAGAAGTTTTGTGGACATTCTCTTTTTAATTTTTTATTAAAGTATAAATAATGTTCATTGTTATAATTCAGGTGTACAACATACTGATTCAACAATTTTATACATTACTCAGTGTTCACCATAATTGTCTTTATAATTATTTTAGGCATAATATTATACCAGTCTTTTGTCATTTTTAATTATTTTAGGTGCAAGACCTCATCTATCCTTTAGACACAAAAATGTATGATTCTAAGTTTCTGAAACAGAAAGCGTTTTATTACAGGAAACTAAATGCTCACAGGTTTTTTCCCCTACGTTATATAGACTTTATTGTTTAGAGCAGTTTTAGGTGTGCAACAGAACGGAGCAAATGGTACAGAGATTTTCCATATACTGTCTGCTCCACACACATACATAGCATCCTTCCTTTGCAACATCCTCAATGAAAATGATACATTTGTTACAATTGATAAACCTACATTGACACATCATTATTACTCAAAGTCCCTAGTTTACATTAAGGTTCACTCTCGGTGTTGTCATTTTGTGGATTTGGACAGATATATCCATTATGTGTATGACCATTACAGTCTTCTATAGAGCAGTTTCTCTGGCCTAAAAAGGTGTGTTCCACTTGTCCATCCTCCCTTCTCCTACAACCCAGAAACCATTAATCTACTGTCTCCATAGTTCTGTCTCTTCCATATTGTCATAGGATTGGCTTTTTTCACTTATTAATATGCATTTAAGTTTCTTTAATGTCTTTCTTTTTTTCTTTTTAAGTAGGCTTCATACCCAGTGCAGAGCCCAGTGTGGGGCCCAAACCACAACCCTGACATCAAGACCTGAGCCAAGATCAAGAGTTGGACACTTACCTGACTGAGCCACCCAAGTGCCCTTCTTCCATGACTTCCATGTCTTTTTATGATTTGACAGCTCATTTCTTTTCAGCACTTAATAATAGTCCATTGTCTGGGTATGCCACTATTTATTCATTCACTCACAAAACAGAAGACATCTTAGTTGCTTCCAAGTTTTGGCAATTATGAACACAGCTACTGGAAACATTCATATGTAGGTTTTCCAACTCCTTTGGGTAAGTACCAAGGAGCACAATTGCTGGATTAGAATGATTAGAATATGTTTACTTTTGTAAGAAAACACCACACTGTAGCTGAACCATTTTCCATTCCTACCAACAATGAATACGAGTTCTGATTCTTCACCACCACATTCGGGTATCAGTGTTTTTTATTTTGGGTATTCTAATAAGTGTGTACTGGTATCTCATTGTTTTGATTTTTATTTCTCTGGTGACATATGATATGATACATATTTTATATGCTTATTTGCCATTTGTATATCTTCTTTGGTGAAGTGTCTGGTAAGGTCTTTGGCCCATTTTTTAATCAGGTCATTCCTTTCCTTTTTTAATAAAGGAATATATTTGACATATAACTTTGAGTAAATTTAAGGTGTATAAGATGTTAATTTGATACATTGATGTACTATATATTATATGTACTATGATTGCCACTGTAGTGATAATTATCACCACCATCACGTTACATAATTATCATTTCTGTTTAGCTGTTTGAAGCCATTGAGTTCTAGTCTCTTAGCAAGTTTGTTGATTGTAATACAATATAGATGTCACTGTCTACTAGACCTAGTGCATAGGTCTCTAGGGCTTAATTATTTCACATTGCAAGTTTGTATCCTTAACGTGTGTCCTATTATCCCACTCCCATCCCTTGGGAGTCACTTTTTAATATCTTTTTTTAAGACTTTGGGGTCTTTTTTAGATTCCACCTATAAATAGAATCATATGGTATTTGTCTTTCTGTCTGATTTATCTTACTATGCATCATGTCTCAAGGTCCATGCAAAGTTTGTATATATTGGGTAACATTTATGAGATACATCTTTTGCAAATATTTTCTTATAGACTGAGGCTTGTCTTTTCATTCTCTTGACATGTCTTTCTACAGAGTAGAAAATTTTAATTTCTTTTTTTTTTTTTTTACAAATAGTTTATTGTCAAATTAGTTTCCACATAACACCCAGTGCTCATCCCCACAAGTGTCCTCCTCCATGCCCATCCCTCCTCCCCCCCACATCCATCAGTCCTCAGTTTTTGTCAGCATTCAAGAGTCCTCTCATGGTTTGCCTCTCTCCCTTTCCCCCACCATTTCCGCCCTTCTTCTCCCCCTTGGTCCTCCGTCAAGTTCCTCCTAATCCTCCCATACGTGCAAACATATGATCTTTGTCCTTCTCTGCCTGACTTATTTCGCTCAGCATAACACCCTCAAGGTCCATCCATGTTGCTACACATGGCCAGATTTCATTGTTTCTCATTGCCATGTAGTATTGCATGGTATAGATAAACCACATCTTCTTGATCCATTCGTCCGTTGATGGACACTTAGGCTCTTTCCATGTTTTAGCTAGTGTTGAGAGTGCTGCTATGAACATTGGGGTACATGTGCTCCTATACATCAGCATTTCTGTATCCCTTGGGTAAATTCCTAGCAGTGCTATTGCTGAGTCATAGGGGAGTTCTATTGTTATTTTCCTGAGGAACCTCCACACTGTTTTCCAGAGGGGCTGCACCAGTTTGCATTCCCACCAACAGTGTAGGAGGGTGCCCGTTTCTCCACATCCTCGCCAGCATCTAGAGTTCTCTGATTTGCTCATTTTAGCCACTCTGACTGGCATGAGGTGGTATCTCAGTGTGGTTTTTATTACATACAAGGTATTTCTAAGGGTAAGCTGTAATCAGATTCAGAATACTATAATCTAGTGGTATCTTAACCATTTAATTCCAGTATAAAATACAAAAGTATTAAAATAGCTCTACCTACAATAATTTGTTAATGGATACAAAACATATAAAAAGGTAAATTATGATATCAAATCATAAAAGGGGAAGAATAAAATGGTAGAATTTCTGTATGCAATTAAAGTTATAGTGCTATCAGTGTAAAATAGACTGCTATATCTATAAGTTGTTTTATGCACCACCTTGAGTAAGTTTTTCACCTCCTAAGCTCTTGGGGGGAGAAGTGTAATATTAAATACAAGAAAAAATCAGAGAAACTCTTCAGAGACAACCGCAAAATAAGAATAATATGGCAATAAATACATATCTATCAATAATTACTTTGAATGTAAATGTACTAAATGCTCCAATCAAAAAACATAGGGTAACAGAATGGATTTAAAAAAATAAAACAAGTCTCCTCTATATGCTGTCTACAAAAGACCCATTTTAAAACTAAAGACACCTGCAGATTGAAAGTAGGAGGATGGAGAAACATTTACCATGCAAAGAGATGTCAAAAGAAACCTAGAGTAGCAATACATATACTGAACAAAATAGACTTGAAAACAAAGACTGTAGCAAGAGATTAAAAAAAGGAACTATATAATACTAGTAAAGGGAACAATCTAACAAAATATATAACAATTGTAAATATTTATACACCCAACACAGGAGAAAATAAATACATGAAAAGGTTAATAACAATCATAGAAGAACTAATTGATAATAATACAATCATAGGGGACTTTAACACCCCACTTACATCAATGGACAAGTCAAGTAAACAAAACATCAACAAGAAAGCAATGGCTTTGCATGACACATTGGACCAGATGGATTTCACAGATATAGTCAAAACATTCCATCCTAAAACAGCAGAAAACACATTCTGTTCAAGTACACATGGGACATTCTCCTGAATAGATCACATATGAGTCCACAAAATAAACTTCACAAGTTCAAGAAGATTGAAATCATATCATGCACCTTTTCTGGCCACAACACTATCAAACTAGAAGTTTGCCACAAGAAAAAAATCTAGAAAGACTTAAATA